ATTAAATTATTTAAATTTATTGACAAGATAAATAAATTCTTTAATTAAATTATTAAATTTTTATTAAAATAAATATTTTTTTATTTTAATTACATGATAAAAATAATTATTTTCATATCTTACTTTATTTTAATCATATATCATGTAATTTAAATTCAAAATTTTTTATTTTTAATGAAATAAAATAATTATTAAATTATTTAAATTTATTGACAAGATAAATATATTTTTTAATTTAATAATTTTAATAATTTAATTTTTACATATATATATATAGACCCACCTAACATCTTAGTATTCTTCTAGCACATGTAAAAAAGACAACGACTTTACTTAACAAATAATTTAAGTTATTTATTTTATTTATTATTTATTAATTTAATTTATTAATTTTTAATAGTAATTTCATTTCATTTTATAAAGATGATAAATTTTGTTTATTACATGAAAGATTAAAACTATTGTCACATGTTATTTTAGTTTTCTTATTGACAGGTTTTTTTAATAAAAATCACAATTATTGTCACACTTTAACCCGTTTACACAATTTATCGTGAATTATTTTATTAGTTAAAAAAATTAAATGATTATTTTATTTTAAATTTGATTTAACTTTTTTTATTTGAATTAATAGAAATATTTTGTAAAATTTATAAACTATCTAAAAAAATTAACTTTTTGTACAAAAATGAAGTTAGACTAATGATTAATAAATTAATAATTGAATTACACCAGAAGCAAACAAATTAACTAACTAATGGGGAAGAAAAGCAACGCCTTTCATATTCCTTTCTAGGAAAATATTCAATACAGGAGGCGCAGAATCATAAACAGTGGTTCCAACAGGCAAGAAATCTGCAGCAGAATTCCCCCCTCACAAATGTATGTTAATATTTGTTTATTGCAATTTAATATTTATTTGTATTTTATTTGTATAAATAAAATATTAATATATTATTACTTATATATTAAATATTAATTTTATTTATGTAAATAAAGCAAGTGAATATTAAATTTGGCATAAAAAATATTGAAATTATTTAAATTATGAAGTTCACTTAATACTCATTTATATGAATAAAATATTAATATGTCATTATTTATATAATGAGTATTGATCTTATTTATATAAATGAATTATAAATAAATATTAAGTTTATCATAAAAAATTAAAAATATCTATGTCACTAAATTTATTGAGTTATTTGTTTCAATAAAAATTCAAAAATTTAATTAATAATCTAATATAAGTTATCATCCTTAATATTTTCTTATAAATAACTTCCTTTAAGTAACCCTTTTATAAATAA